AGGCTATTAATCTTAGTTCTAATTGCACGATATTGTTCTCATACGTTGTCCTTAGAGTACGCTGGTCTCATTTTGTATATATTTATTGTAGAATTCTTGTATCAAGCAAATAGTCGTCGAGTGTACCAAAAATTAATAAAATTGAAAAGTTTTTTCGTTTTTGATACAAAGTTCACCAGCATAGTTTAAATTTTGCTGCGTACTTTAATTCCGCAAAAGACTTTTGCATTTCTATAAAGCCAATTAAAAGATTACTTCTAACAAAGAATGTCGATAAAACAGACGGCTTTAGGATCCCCTTAATGTCTAGTTCCTTTAATCAGGGACGCGCGGGCGCGCGTTTTCTCATTTTAATTCCAAACGTTATTCACTCGTGTGTTTTTAATTTAATTAGTCTTAAATTGCAGCAATTGAAAAATAAAAGAAGAAGAAACGAATCGATTTCGCTGGGTCTGAAGCAAGTTTGAGTTAGTACCTTCTTTCTGAATTTCTATATAATTTATTGAATCACACGCTTCGTAGTATTCGGTATAAAAGGTACGTTCCCCTAAGGACGAAAATGATTCTGAAACGAAAAGATTAGCCCAGGCTGTTGCGACTGATCCTCCGGCATTTTCCTTAGCAAATGATCCTCGCGCGCTCGCTTTTCTCTCGCTTTTGTACGCACGGAGGCTGAGAACGGGTCGTCCCCGGGGGACTCCTACGGCATAATAAATGTCCATCTATCTGGCCATCTCTTATTGCGTTCCGGCGATATGGTGTAAAGAAATAAAGTGAGGAAGGGACCAAAGGCGAAAAGGTGGCGGCGAGTCTCGTGCAAAAAGGAATAAGACGCGAGATAAGACGTAGAAGGACGCGCGAAGACAAGCGCTTGTATGCAGCGCGTGACGTAGATTGCAAGAGGGAGGATAAAGGGAAGAAAAAGGTCATTGAGAGAAGCGACGGCGGGGAAGCCTGTTTTACGTCAAAGTCGTTCGTCCCTTTAGAAACGGAAGCCTTGGCGCCGTCGGCATATCGTGACGCACGTGATTTCAGTCGCGATCAGCTTAGCCTAGAGACCCTGTAATCAGAGACTGGCCATAAGAGTTCTTTTTTAAAGGACGTTACTCAAGACCGCTGTGACGAGACAGCGCGGTACGATGCAGTAAATCGAATAAGACAATGGTCGAACGCGGTATCGGTTGAAGTGAACTGTTAAAAAGTGAACGACCGCTGCAGCCAGGAACGAGGCGAGTGCGCCGTAGAGAAAGTACTTGTAAACGAATAAATCGGTACACACGCTCTAAGTGGGGACCGGAGTAACTTGACGGCGCACTCTTTGTTCGCCGGTAGTTGTAAAAGCGAACGATGCTTACGGCGCACCGAAGGAAAAGGTCGGCAGTATCAATAAGGTGCGCGATGGCACGAGGGCACGGAAAGAGAGATAAAAGCGCCGTACTTATTGCTAAATCATGAACGAGCGGAAAGGTATGCGACACGGCGGGTCTTTTTACGGCGACGCAAAAAGGCGTAGAAAATGGTCACGTAGGTCCAGGAGGGACACGGGTGAATATAAAGAGAGAATGAGAGGCGGCGAGAGAGATAAAAGCGGAAAAATAACGAGGGTGATCCGGCGCTCGTTAAATGTTCGCGCTTGCGAACGAATTAGCAAAGGCTGCGCGCAAAGTTAATGAAAATACAGTTACTGGAAAATAAAAAGTAGAGGGAGAGGAGGAGAAGAAGAAGAGAAATTTAGTGGCCCGGGAAAAATACGTTACAGCCGTAATATACGACAAAGAAAGTATAATAAGATAGAAACAGTGATAAAGATTGGTTACACGTGTGCCACGTGAAAAAAACAAGGATAATTTTAAAAGGATAAAAAGAGAGAGAAAGAGAGAGAAAGAGAGAGGGGGGAGCGCAGGAAGTAAGATTTATTGCTTCACGTTGTATTTTTAGTTGGTTTTTAGGAAGTGCAACATCCGAGGATCTTTTGAAAATAGTCACTGATTCCAGCCTCGACAATTTCAATGGGTAACGAGATTCAGAAATATCATGGAAAAACAGCAGCGGAGGCGGAGAATAAACGCGAGGAAATACAAGGATCTCAGTAATGTTACAAGGTACATCGGTAAAGCCGGCATTCAAATGTCGTTAACTGCGGCAAAGGATTGCGCAGACGTGCATTCGTGCACACGGGGGTTGCATGAAAGGGAGAGGCCAAGAAATGGAAAATCACGTAAACGGATTCAGACAAATCGTAGGGAATGCGAGGAAAATGCGGAGCGAACTGGAACAGCAAACTAAGGGGATGATGATAATACTTGTAAGCTTATAAAATGGCACGCGTGGTAGTCGGATTGCTGGGCGAAGGGCCACTTTTATTACGGTTAAAAATCGATGGCGCTCGCTCGTGGCGGATAAGGGAGAAGTGAAAGATAAATGCGGCCGGAGCGGCTGGAGGTATACTAAAAGTAAGACAATGTAAGTCGTGGAAAAGGGGTGGGTGTAGATAAAAGAACAAAAGCCTGACTCGAAAACCGTCCGTGTAACGCGACGGCTGTCATATTTTGCTCGTGGCATTGTTGTTGCAGTTGAGACGGAACTACGTTGAGACTGCGCAGAAACGTAGATTCTGACCGATTGAACTGTCCTTGCGCGTTGAAGTATTTAAAACAAATTGAAAATAAATCCGAAAGAAGAGTTGAGCGCAGAAATAATAAAGAGAGGTATATATTGCGTTGCAATCACGTAAATTGGCAGTAATAAAGTAACGACGATGCAAAATATATGTGCAGCCCCGTGGTGGAGCAGCAGCACGGTAAAGTAATAAAAATCGACGCGATTCTTCGGAAAAGGGCACAAAATAAAAATAACGTGGCGATCGTTAACGCTGATGTGAAATATGAGATGGCAGACGGGTATTGTTAAAGTATTAAGAAGGGGACAGATAAGGGATTATGTACAAGATATAAAGGATCTCCTTCGAGACTGAAAGAAGAGCCCTAAGGTAAGAAGTTGAGATAAAATAATGCGGAGGAAAAAAAGCGACGTGAAAACTGAAGTAAGGAAGAAAGTAGACGGAAACGCGACGAGACACTTCGACTTTCTGAAAAACGGAGTGCTGGTACGTATAAATATATCTAACTGCGAATAGCATTAGTAAGAATATAACACATCGGTGATACGTTATCTCATATGAACGAATACCCATGTGGTTGCATCTTTTTTTCATCTCCTAAGAAAAATCACAGACGTCAGGAATAATCTCCAGCAATATCGAACGAGGGTAATCTTGGAACTAAAGATAATTCGATTTCCTGAGAAAAACGGAGCGCTGTTTCGTATAAATCTATCTAACTGCGAATAGCATTAGTAAGAATATAACACATCGGTGATACGTTATCTCATATGAACGAATACCCATGTCGTTGCATCTTTTTTTCATCTCCTAAGAAAAATCACAGACGTCAGGAATAATCTCCAGCAATGTCGAACGAGGGTAATCTTGGAACTAAAGATAATGATGCTATTCGCGATAAGCGTTACGTGAATACCTTGTAAAAGAATGCCCTGAAATTAATCCCCCCCCCCACGATTCAAAATGCAAGAAGTTAATCTGTTGCCTCGAGAAGCGCATCTAAAACAATAAGCGGGAGAACGTAGAGAAAGTTGGAGGGCGAATAAAGGTAAGGTGGAGAGAATATAAAGGCGCAAAAAGGAGGGGGGGGGGGAAGGTAGCGCCGGGAAGAGGCAACCGCAAAGATGGATAAGTTGGCGAAAAATAAAATGGCCGAGGTGGCGCACCTCGAGCCGAGCAGGGCGAGTCATCCTTTCGAGGAGGGAAGACGCTCTTGGCGGTGTTCCGCTTTAAAGATAACGAAGCGAGTTCTTCGCGGAACAAAGCTTCGTAACCGCCGCCACCGCCGTCACGACGGTCGCGGAGTGTTTGCCGAGACTGTCTCCAGCAGTGCGACAGGAGCGACAGGTGGCTCCGTGTGCCCGCTTTTTCACCCCTTCTCACCTTGTCTCTCTCTCTCTCTCTCTTTCTCTTTGCCATTTCTCCATTCGTCATCCCCTCGCGATTCCGCTCCCGGGCTCGCTCGCACCGTTGGCACTCGCTCGGGGGTGTGATTTAAAGTGTAAACTTAAATATTCCAGTTGGTACCTTCGTGCAAATAGATTCGATATTAATGGAGCTTCAGCACCTCGTCGGGAAAGAGAAAGAGAGGATATCCGAATATCTGCCGCGGAAAGTCCTAATGGCGAGAATTTAGGCGCATCACGCGCCTAGTGATTTTCACGTATTTGACGGAAGGAAACGATGTATCGATAAAAGCGCAAGTGTTTTGCAAATTGAAATTGATATTACAAATGTCACGGCGAATTGGAAGTTCCGGCACGGCAAACGGGAACGCACTCGGCGTTAATATGGGGAAAGTAACATTTGAAGCGAAGTAGTCTTCTCGCCGGAGAAATCCCGACGGTTATCTCATCCAGAGCTCCATCAAAGAACTCGCGAGTAATCCCCTCGAACGACGCGCAAAACGCTTCGATCTAACTTTTTCGTTCTCTCTTTTTTTTCCGTTTTGGGCCGATTGATTTATAGATGGGAGAGTGACGGCACGGCGGAGCTTAGTATCTCGGCTAAAAATAATTATCGATCTGCTCTTATCGAATCTACGGCGAACTTACCTGCTCCGTGTGTGTACACACGAGAAGGAAGGATCTCTCGCGTTACGACAAATTTGAAGAAATCTGTTAACGAGAATCAGTTAGGTAGCTATAAGCCTTCTTTTAATCCACCGCAATCCACTTCGTTCCGCGATTGAAGGGCGGGATCGATGTTCCGTATATATACCTTTTATACATAAGGATTTCTGTACTTAAGGAAAATATTTCAAATACTTCCTCCCGCCGTACAAAAGCCGTTTAAAGAGGCAGGACGATATAATCCTCGCCTCACTTAGTCTACAGAAGGGAAGAGGATTCACATGAATAATGAAATATGCCGTTGTGTATTAGAGAAAAATAAAGGAAGCTTTATTCTTTACATACCATAGCAGGCAATACGAGTCGGCCGCGCGTCGTCGACGCGGACGACGAATGCGCGCGTCACCGACGACGCAGAGATATAAACGAATATCGGTAGGAAGATCGGGCCGGTGGGGGATCTCGGGGTACACGGTAAGATCGGTAAGATTGGGTCCTCCTCGTCTCGCCTCGCTCGCTCGTTCTCTCCTCGCCCTCGCGTCTCTTCACCAACGCCGTCGCCCTCGGCTACTTCAGGTCACGCCAAGATCGCCGCCAGTTTGTGCAGATTCGTTATGGTCGTCGCGTCGCCTGGCTGCAACCTGAGGGCCTCCTTGTAAGCTGCGGCGGCCTGCTTGTACTTGCCGTTCAGGTGTAGGATCGCGCCGAGATTCGTGTGGCTGCGGGCCTCGTGCGGCCTCAGGCTGGCGGCGTGTCGGTACCAGACCTCAGCCTCATCGCGACGATCGGCCTGCCTCAGCGCCGAGGCCGCCGCGACCGACAGCTCGTAATCGGACCGCGACAGCTCGGCCGCTCGCAGCTGCTCCTCGGCAGCCTCCACCAGTCGGCCCTGCGACGTCAGGAACAGCCCTGGAAATTTTGCAAACAGACGTTATTGTGCGTGTCGCGTCGCGAGACTGTCGCGTCGCGTTCGATCAACTTATACGTCGCGCATTGTGAAACTTGGCCAAGTCGCTAGGCAGATCGTTAATCGACGTAGCGATTTTTTATTTAATGCGTACAAATCCGCAAGTCTACTCAATGATTCATTTTGCAATCGAACAGATCGATCCCGCCTATAATACACGCGTGTCTGATTTCCCATGGATGCGAACGATGTTTTATTAGAGCGATATTCCGAGCGGGAAAAACTGCGGGAAAAACACGATCGAAGAATCGGAACGGAAGCATATTTTTGCATAGGTATTTTTAATCTGCGAGAGGAAGAGCGACGTGAAACACGAATGCGGACAAACGGGAAGGCAGAAATATTTGAGGGATACTTATCGAGTCTGTGATTTTAAACTGGACGTTCCGTTTATTATTAACCAATTAAGCGAAAGAATGCGACCCACGCTCGCGCTTATGTCACCTATATCAATAATGAACGCCCCGCCGAGCGAATGGGAAAAAGAGATACGCGGCAAATTGCACGCGGCGGAAGATTGTCTTCGTGTTCCCGGTGCAATTTAACGCGGCTGACGTTTCGAAGCGCGCCGCCGCGTTTCCCCGGAATTTTAATACCCGTCGATCCGTCCTCGGCATCTCGACTCTGCCCCGTACACCCTCTGGTATCCCGTCCCTTCTTTTCGATTAGCCCGTCCGTCCTCCTTCTACGCCAGATCGACTATCATCCCGCAGGAAATATTACAACGGTATTTATAAGCGGCTCGACGAATCGGCAATCCTCTTATCTCCCCCGCCTATTAAGCGTCTCTTCGAATCTTCGCTCTTTGATTCCCTCCCGTCGCGATTTCCCCTCGCGATCGAAGGGGACTTGGAGGACCTCCTTTCGAAAACGGATTCGGGGATCGGGAATCAATTATACCGTTGTTACAATGGGGTCTCGGCCGCGGCGGCCGATGCGAGACGGCGGAGGGTAGGGCGGGAAGGAGGGACGGTTCTCTCGGGGGTGCGTTAGGCAAGTGCAAAAGCGAGATGCTTAAGAGAGCGTATTTCATTGCTTTAATAATGAACGAGGATTTTCCCTTATCACCGGCCCGAAGACGACTACAATCTACGGGCATTAGACATTTAAATTGCGACGCGGTCGAGGGACGGAAGGTTGAACCTCGGTCGGGGCGAACGGGGGGGGAAAAAAGGAGACGGTAACCGAAGACGCCTACTGACGAATTCCAGACGACGTCGGACGAGGACGACGACGCTTTCCTGCGGTCGCAATTAAAGAAGCTCCTGGTCGCGCCTTACCGTAATGATGGTGCACGCTGGGGTCGTCCGGCGCCAATCTGCGGGCCCTCAGGAACCATCTCTCCGCTTCCAGGACGCGGCTCGACTAAAGAGAGAGAAAGCAGAGGCGACTCGTGAGCCACCGCGAACTCGATAGCCCTGTCTGTCCCCCCTCCCCCTGGCGGTTGCTACCGGTTCAGGAGCTTGTTCTATCACATTAGACAAGATTTTTGAATATATTATATCCGTCAAATCGTGGATGTATGGATGCCGCGCTGAATATAAATGTATCCGCGCGGGTAAAAGAGAAAACGTGGGTGAATATTGAAGAAAATCAACATTTGCAAAATTGCCATAAACAACTTCGAATTCTCCTCTTCGCCGCAGGAGCGTTCCGCAATTTTCGTTTCGGCAATTTCGACGCGATGCGCAGCGTCCACTCGCACAATTGAGTATCAACGGGAAAAAAACAAAAGCAAAAAAAAAACAAAACAATTTCTAAACGCGAGAAACGGAAAAATAGGTTTACACTCAGCGCTGAATTCCCTGCAAGAAGACCTCTGATTTTCTGAAAACGAATCTCATTCGTCGTGGAAATTTTGCCGTCCGTTAGTCTTCGTTAATGCCATCGGAACTGACGCACAGTTGATGTCCGATGCAAAATAAATGACCGGTTTCGGAGACGTTGAGAGCCGGGAGGAGCGGGGGACTTCGTATTGACCTAAATATGTTTATGTCGCGCATTATATTGCGTCTCGCGGCACAAGTTTCTCAAGTGGTAACGGTCGATATAGTTCAGACTTGGAAAGTAGATCGCGATAAGGTGAAATAGAGCGGCGATGGCAGGCGATGGCGATCTAAAAGCAAAACGACGGCTACTTACGTTCCGTGCCAAAAGTTTCCCGTAAGTGATGTGGGCCGGCACGTGGTCAGGCTGGCTGGCCAAACTCGCCTGAAACCACCTCTCCGCTTCCGCGTACTGTTGCAGCCTCGACAGCGTCTCGCCTAGCAGATTGTACACGCTCTGCGGGGAAGAAAGAGAGAGGAAAAAAAAGATAGACCGTTTCTTTGGTGTCGCCTAATTTCTTTCCGCCGTTACGGGGGGCAGAAAAAGAATTTCCGTACGGAACGGTTTCGAAGCGTTTCTCCGCTCATTTAAATTCTCGGGCCAATTCGGAGTCGATTACCTTTTTAACGAAAACTCTGCGGTCGTACGCTATTTTCGTACTCGCAACTTTCTAGCGTGCAAGATTAGATATTGTTTTAATGCCGCAATTAGATCCCTTTTGCGTGTAACGGCCATTTAAATGTAAAGTACGATTTTGCACATTCGTCTGTACCGCCGAAGCTTAATTCGGGAAAATCCCTAGATTTTTCGGTAATTTATATTACGAATTTGGGTCACCAGACTTCTTTCCTCGGTAGAATTTTCGAGAACCGTATATTTATAGGGCTTAATCTCCATTTTGCTTCACGCTACTTAAATATGCAAACATCGGTTGAAGAATCGGATAAGTACGGACAACGTGTTTGTGAAAAACACGAAAAGTGCGCGAGGCGCCACTGAAGGCTACGTTTACGAGAAAATCAGGTGTGGATCGAAACGCGAGAGGGTTCGTTAGCGTGCCGGGGGAAAATTATGCTAATAAATTCAACAATTAATAAATTTGCTGGCAACTAATTCACAAAGTGTAACAAATTGCCGCGATATACGCGGACACGTGTACGCGTTTTAATGCGCGTTGCAATATAATAATAAGCTCTTAATTACCTTCAATCTAGAAAATGCGATTGTGAATAGCAGAACGCTGAAGCGCGCCACTTCTGCGTTAATTAATTACGCTTCGATGTGAGGGATCGCATCCAAAATTTTCATCGCGGACGGACAAACTTGCGACGCGACAAGTGTTCCACGCGCACAACAAACCGAGGGAGCACAAGAAGAGAATAATTTGACTTTGAAAGAAATCCGCGCTTCGGAAAGTTTTCTAATTTTCGAAGCCGACCTTTGCTACTGATAGTTTTCCCGAGATCGTAAATGTCCCGTGTGTGCAAGCGTCAAGCTCGCCGTCGTAAGAATTCAAAGTTGACGAGCGCATGCATACAGAATGAGGAGGAAAGCGGAGGAAAGTGGACACGCGAGTCAAATTGTTTCTTATATCTGCACTCAGTTTTTGCGTACAACTAATTATTATTCAATCTAAAATGTGAATTCATGTACCGTTTTCTACCTTGTTGCGCCGGTTTCTTTTCGGACGTAACACAGTTTCATTTAGATGGGATCATTGTCGTCAGTGAGCTCACATATTAAAATCGATAAACTATTTCTAATTATTTAAAATGCTGTAATTTGCATTCAATACCTCCTCCCCGTACTGTAAAAAATCCTTGCGAAAAATATTATCTCAGCCAGGATTCGAACCTGGAATCTCCTTCAATCTATGACGTCTTATCCAACTCGACCACTGAAGCTGTGATAATATTCATATGACGATATATGCCCGAGCCGAAATTTTGGTACTATTGTGACACTTTTAAGGATAATTTACACCTACTTAGCTGATCTATACACCTACATAGACCATCGATAACCTACTTTGGTGACTTATTTTTTTACTCCTCCCTTGAATCTTTAATTCTAAAAATTTACTTTAGCTCCTACTTAAAAGGACCTACTTTAATACTAAATTAGCAAAAGTAGAAATTTCCGACACTATCAGTTTTAAAGTAGGAATAAATTTTGTACTTGCAGTTCGACCTCTTTTACTGTCTTAGGTCCTACTATATAACAGAATTAAAGGTTCAACGTAGGGCCAAAATTTCAACTCTGGTGAATTCACATTTTAGATTACAATTTGATTGGATTACCAACATCTTGCGCAGACCTAAAGGGTCTCTCGCTTGTTTGATTCATATCATAATGGTCCTATTTAACTTTATTTGATCATTATTTGTCAAAATTGTTGACAAAATATTCTGTTGAGGCACAACTAGTTGCGATTCGAGGCGACAGACGACGTTTGACGATGAGTATCGTTGTCGGGGAAAGAATTTCAAATTTTGTCTGATATATGCCTCGTTTACGCACAGCCTAGTAAAGGAGTAACAGTGCGATCGAGAGCGTCACGAGGCAGCTAACATCGAAAACCTTCTTCCCAGGCCTACATGAGAGACCGCGTCTCGCGTTTCTCGGAGTTGTAGTAAGCTAAAACTTTTATGATTTTGTTCGAGACGAGTCCGCGAGCCGCCGGGTGCGGCCGTTAGGGCAGAGCCTTTCACGGGCGGGGAAGACAAATGGCGGGGCGCGAACGAGAGACAGGAGAAGAACGACCTCGAATATCCCCCGACTCAGTCGTCAGACTCGATTGCTTCGTGATTCAATGGATCCCGCAGTTTTCTCAATGCCGTAGATGTCTCGCGGGATCCCAATTGCCCAACGTGGCAATCGGCAGTTACAAGAGGCGAATGTTAATCGATCCGCTTCTTTAAAGCCACACTTGCTTATCTCGTTTGGCGTTTCCGAGTCGAAATTTTGGTACTATTTTGAAACTTTTCAGAATAATTTACACAAACTTAGCTGATCTATACACCTACATAGACCAGCGACAACCTACTTTGATGACATTATATTTTTTTACTCTTCCCTTGAAACTTTAATTCTAAAAATTCACTTTAGCTACTACTTGGAAGGACCTACTTTAACGAGCTAAATTGGCAAAAATAGAAATTTTCAATACTATCAGTTTGAAAGCAGGAGTAAATTTGGTGCTTGCAGTTCGACCTCTTTTACTGTCTTAGGTCCTACTATATAATAGAATTAAAGGTTCATCATATAGGACGAGTAGAGCCAAAATTTCGACTCTGGTTATTGGTAATTTATAACTAAGCAAAAAAATTCGTGGATAAAATGTCACTGGAATGCGAGAGAACGTTACGCGCGGGAGTAATTCTACAGAATAATGCATCATAATCGCCTACCCTATCACCAAAAAAAATGCTGTCGCGCTGTCATGAATCGCGGGATGGAATAACAATTGCATTAGCTGCCGCAGATAATAACGGCGTACGTGAGTAAACACAGGCCGAAATAAAATGTTGATATACACCAGTTTTCGCGTAATTATTTCGGCACAACGGGACTTTATTTTCCCGCCTGTCACGCGTTATTCGGAGATGCTCCATTTCGGGCTTCGCATCCACTTTCTGTCACGCGCGCGCCACGCGCATCGCGCGTGCCTTCCACGCGTGATTACGCTCGACGACGAATGTCGCCGCTTTGTGATCGCGATCATTATTTTCTCGCCCGCGCGACAAAAGTGCGCGTCGACTTCTGAATGGGAAACGTGACAAGTCGCGCGAAGTGCCGCTGTATCGCGTCAAAGAATGTACCGGCAAAGTCGCGAGCGCCAAGGCAATGTTACCCGCCCCATACACGTTCGCATTGTCCCGAGTCATTATTCACTTGGGCTACTTTTCAAGGATGTTGCGCGCACTTGCTTAGACGTAATGCTCACTCGAGCTCGCGGTTCACAAAGCGCGTCGCCTCTACCGATAGCCGCGGCTCTTATGCACCGGAGAAGGTTCTCACGCCTCTGCGCCGAGCTCAGAAATAATGATCTCGGCGCTAGCATCCCATTCCCCGTAACACCACGACGTATGTGACAATAACAACGTACGTTTCAAAGGGGAATACCAAGTGCAGCTGCATCCCGAGTCGAAATTTTGGTATCATTTTGACACTTTGAAGGATAATTTACACCTACTTAGCTGATCTACACACCTACATAGATCACCGATAATCTACTCTGATGACATATTTTTTTATTCCTCCCTTGAATTTTTAATTCTTAAAATTTACTTTAGCTCTTACTTAAAAGGACCTACTTTAATGCTAAATTGGCAAAAGTATAAATTTCCGATACTATCAGTTTTAAGTAGGAGTAAGTTTTGTACTTGCAGCTCGACCTCTTTTACTGTCTTAGGCCCTACTATATAATAGAACGAAAGGTTCAACATGGGGCCAAAATTTCGACTCGAGATTACTCAAAATGGTACGGGCATCGATTTTCTCGTGAATCTTTCATTTCTTCGCAAAGACATACATACATATATCAAGATAACTTTTTAATATTTTCAACGTTAAACTCGCCGACAGCCGTCGAGTCTAATTGCCGATGGCGTAAAGCTAATTTTAAATGAACTTAAAACAATTGCTTCGCGCAGTTTTACATTTATGAAGCCTAACCGCAATTGTTTCGGTTAATCATGACTTTTTCAATTAGACATTGATCAAGCTTGCATATATACGAGCTCCTAATTACCTATCTCATCGCGTTCGATGAACCTTTCCTCAAATTACAAAGTATCCAGCTACTGTGCATTCATCGCGTAATTACACTGGTGCTCTCCCAACATCCATGTTTACATTTATGTCGCAGTCAACGAGTATTCGGCAATTTCCAGCGATTGGTCGGAATGTCTGCTTTATGGCGCGGTTTGATGAATGTTTAATCAAGCCTTGTATAGCCGGGGCCCACGGTACGTCGAACGTTTTGACTTTTCAAAAAATAATAAAGTATATTTTTTTTTTCATCGAGCAGCCGGCTCCGTCAATGTGTACATTTCCCGGTCACGTGAATTAATATTGCTGGATGGATGAATAGTTAAGTGGGCGTCCGACATTGTCCCGACTGATATTAAACCGATCGGAAACGCGGCACGCATTAGCGGGACACATTTAAAATCACGTTACTATTAATTCCGTTCTAAATAATTACGCGCATACGTATCGTTATGTATCCGGTATGCAATCAAACGGACGACGTCGATTATCGATGTCAGTTTTCGGATACATCGCGGAAACGGGCAGCTGCGCGGGATAAATTGGCGAATTGTTATGCCGCGGTATTCGTTCCGACATTTTAACGCTCGATTAATTTAAGAAATTTTTCGAAATCTCGCCCGCACGTAAACGCAAAGTCCTGTAACCGTATGAAATTATACAGCGGATGAATATTCCGCGTG